TACTTTTTGGATAATAATCATTATGACTTTCTGAATTACGGGAAATACACGTAATAAGATGGACATCATCAAAGATGTTGACTTAAATACACATATCTGTTCTTGAGATTTGTTATTGTGCATACCACTTCTCATACGTATCTATATGCAACTCACCAATAAGGAACTTGAGATACGAAGACCGTATGATCTTAACCATTAGCCTTTTGTTTTTTTGCATTTTTTGCATTTGGATTGTTTTTTGCCTTTATTTATATTTCATATTGGCAACTCTTTCCTACTTTGTACTGCAACTGCAGTGCCAACAATTAAAAAAAAATCAAAAGAGAAAGAAAGGGATGGACGAGGAAGAGAGAGGAAGTGAAAATGGGAAGAGAGGAGAAAACAGTAATAAACAGTCAGTATCAGTAACTATTAAGAGTCAGTATCTCAGCATGTTCGTCTGTGAAACTGTATCAATGTGAGGCTCCATCTGCTTCTGCAGGATAAACAACAAAGTGTAAACACTGTTATGAATTTCCAGAGTTGCTTGTTGAGCACGAAGACGACAAATATTGATTCACTGGTGTGGAAACGAGAGAACCTATGGTGGTTTAAGTAAAAACGAGAAAGGCCCTCTCTAGATATGAAGGGCTCATTCTCAGAGAACGTGATTGTACACCAATGAAAATATAGTTATGAATATTATAATACATTTCTGTCAATAGACGACTTCATCTGAGTATTTCCATTTTTTGCTACTTTATATCTTTTACTTCACTACATGTATTTGACACGTATAGTTACTTTCTATTCAATAAAAACATATGATACGAAGCAGTAGACAAGTAAACAAATTAAAATTGTCTAAACTTCTTTCCATATTGATGAACTACAACATTAAAATATAATATTCTACAATAATATTACGTGTAGTATTTTTAGACTGTGGTGTTTCTACTTAAATGAAGCATCTGAGTACCTACTTCTTCCACCACTATCAATAAATAGAGTCAAACTCTGCATGCAGCAGCTCAGATGTGTTTCACATCAATAAAATCACACACTGCAGCGCGTGCTGCTATATAACAGGGTTAGAAGCAGCAGCCCAAACAGCGTGTGTGTGTGTGTGCAGGCAGACAGACGGCACGGTGTTTCCCAGTGGGAGTGTTACAGTGCCTCATGCAGAAACTGGAGGGAGACCAACCGACACACACACACACACACACACACACACGCACACACAATCTGTCTGTTTTGACTCACACACAGATGGTTAATATTTTCACTTATTAAAATGATTAGAAACACATTTTATTTAGAGTAATTTGTAATCAACATTTTACATCAGTTAAATCATAATATCTCATCGTAAATAGAAAAAGTATTTGCTCATTAAGTATTCTAGTAAAATATTGAAGTTTTCGTTTTTATGCTTTATGATACTTCTGCTCCACTGCATTTTGGAGAGAAAGCTAGCTGGCTGCTAACTGCAGCTTCATATTTATCACACAGACATGAGAGTGGCATCAATATGAGGAGCTTAACTCTCAGACACCGAATTAGCATATGTCCCAATGTGTCGAACCATAGTTTATTTTAACATAACAACAATCTTTCTCCGATCTTCTCTGTGCAGATAACGTCGAAAGCAATTTTTTTTTTAAACATTGGCATTCATCACAAAATGATCATAATCTGGGGCTTCAAGACATTTGTGTCTGACAGTACCGTTGGTGTATTCACAGTTGTGCCTGACTCTCTTGAGTTTTTATGTATCTGTGGGGTTTAGATGCTCTTTTCCTTTACCCTCATCTTTCTTTCCCTCATTGTTATGACCCAGAAACTGATCTCATCAGGACCGAAAGACGAGGAATGTTCTGGGACATTTGAGTGTATGTGTCTCTCTCTGTCAGTGTGAGAGTATGCATGATGGGCATCTAGTGTCAGTATGTGTTTGAGTGTGTATGTAGGTGTGTGCTCGATTGCAGTTTATAGATGTAAAGACAACTATCACTGGATTACTTTAATACCGAAGAAAACTTTTTTTAATAATTGTCAGGTGATTTCTGCATATTGTTTCGATTCATAAGCAGAGTTATGGACATTTATTCATGCTGGATATCAATGATAATGACATCCCTGGATAGTATTAGTCATTCTGAATATAAATATATGTTGAATGATTACATGTCTCACCTCACAGTTACACCAGGTACAGACAACTGAAGTAAATCACAGCTTGATTGCAGTGCAATAAAAAGCACTTTAAAGAGCAATTTTCTCAAAATGAAGAGTTTTCAGTAAAGATTTAAGTTTTCAAGCCGCGTTTTTTTTCTTCTTGAGTTCCATTGTTGCATTCTGAAATAAAACCCTGAAAGTCTCCATCTCCTCTCTCTCCCCCGTCAGCTCCTTTGTGTCTAAAGTGTCCCCCTCCCCTCTGTTTTTTCCTCACTTGATGCCCTTTCTTCTTCTCTCCCATTTCTGTCAAGTTCTTTTTTCTCTCCACCATCTCATGTCTCTGATTTCATGTATTTAGAGCAGAGAGTTGCCATCAGGGAGAGAAAGAGAGGAAGGAAAAAAACTGACAAAAACTAGCTTGTGATTTGTGGATTATGTAGAAGTCTGGGGGGATGGATGCTCAAGCGGGGGTTATCTGAAGAACACAGTGAATCCAGGCACTCAAATCAACGATGTCACCTCGACAAATCACACTTGATCCGCTGGATATGAAGCAGACAGTCACAATATTTCTTTCTTTGTATACAACTCTCATGAAAAGTCTGTTTCCACCTCTCTCTTCACCTTCAGTCAATCACACAGAACATTTAAACATTCTAATGTTGAATAATATGACCGGGATTAGTCAGAAAACGAATCAGCTGCGTTTTTAAACACACACAGACCCTCATATTCACAGCAGACAGCCTGTATTCACCCTCTAAATCTCATTTTGTAATGAGGAGCCTGCGGCGACTCCACATTTAGCCTGAATATTATCACCGTGGAGTTTTAATAACAGCAGATGCCAGAAAAGTGTTTGTCCCTGAGCTTCGGGGTCTGGTGGGTCCCATCACTGCGGTGCTTAGATCACCTGTCAATCAAACAGTTTCTCGTCGTCTTTCTTAAAGAGTCTTTCGACGAAAAGTTGATGCAGTTTGAGTGTCTGCAGTTTGGAGGATGTCGTGTGCCGGTATTGCTGCGACGGCTATCGCTGATTATATAAAGAATATTGAAACAGTTGGGTCGGTGAGTAGGTCAAGAACCAGAGACAGCTAGCTTAGCTTAGCATAAAGACTGGAAACAGGTGGAAACCTCTAGCCTGGCTCTGTCTCATCAGCATGTCAGTACTCATGATGTCTTTATGTAGAGTATGAAACAGGCGTAAGGTAAAAAATAAAATAAACATTTGTTAACTGAAAAACCCTCCGACTGAATCCCTCCAGCTGCTTTTCTGTCAAACCATCCCGACTTAATGAGAATTATCCGTCTTTGACCCGACTGCTCCCGACGTGCAGCAGCCATTACTGGCCACCCTCGCTGTGTCTGTCAATCTCCAACCTCCTCGCCCTCCTCCTCTTCCTCTCCCCTGCATTATTTCTATCTCTCTCTCTCCTCACTTCCTTCATATTTGTTATGAGGAGTTATATGAGTTCCTGTTGATACGGTGTGTGCAGCTATCATACCCGGCTTATCCAGAACCTTTCATAATAGAGTGTGGCCACAGAGGCAAATATATAAAAAATCTGAAGAAAAACGACAAAACAGCAAGAAGAATAATAATAATTTAGGTTGTGGAAACTAAATAATAAAGGCAGCATATTTCACCTGGGAGATCAAGACTGAAAACGGCTCTATTTCCTGGACTTCACCTTTGAGAAAACAGTTCAGAAATGTAGGTTAAAGATTGATACAGAGAACGATACAAGTTGAACTGCTGTATTGATCGCAGGGTCGGACACAGAGAGAGAGGCGGAGATGGTCGGACCTCGGACTCAACCCACAGAGGAGAGGCTGTTGACAGGGAGAGGTGGAGGCCAAACTGCACTTTCCTCCCTCACCGTGACAGACAGCCAAATGGGAAAAAAAAAAGCTTTAGCCCCAGACTTAATGGAAACTTTGACAGAACTTTGAAAAAAATGGCATGAATGAACAATTATAAAAACCATCAACATCATCATAAAGTGTGTATCATCCGCTTGAAATGTTTTTTTGCTCCCTATATAGCTGTCATCCAAAAGATATATGTCATCAACTTAACTGAACTATGTTAAGTATAAATGCACATTCATGTTTCATTTTGGTAGACTCGCCTTTGTCTCTCGTTTCAGATGATTCACTTTCTGTCCTTGTATGTTTCCCGCCTGTGGTATTACCCACCTTGTCCTGATTCGTTTCACCTGTACCTCATTACCCTTCCTCCCCTGTGTATCTGGTCTTTGTGATCCCCTTGTTTATTTCCAGTTCGTCCTCCAGCCTTTTGTTCCCAATGACTTAAAATTGTGATTTAGCCCTTGCTTCTGTATATTTAAAGCCTTTAGCATGGCGTTTTGGACTATTTTTGGACAGAACTTCTGTGTACCGAACTCTGTTTACCAGTGAAAATAATATTTTCTATCTGCCCTGTGTTCAGAGTCTAGCTATTAAGTTTGTCTGTTGGCACCAGTGTGAAAGTACCTTCATCTTTTCTCCTTCACCAGATAAATCTTCAGCAAAAAGATTAGGGCCATTCTGACCACTTAAATATTATGTCCTTTAAATGCTTGAAATTCTTCAAACTTCCAATTGGATTAATTTGTTCTTTTCAATTGCTTTTGTCTTTTCCAAGTTCAAAAATTAAAAAGGTTTATTTTTTCCGATGTCGTAGTGTAGGAGTGTTTCTAACCCTAATTCTTCCACCCCTGCAGAAAATCAAGCTTTCATTTCACACAAACAACCACAAACATGTACATAAATGACAGAGATTGTTCTGGGTTTGTAATTTTCTTCCCATCTCTGTGCTGCTTCCTTCCTCTCTGCAGGGATCTCCATGCCGATTCCTGTTCTTGGACTCAGAGACCACTCTAAGGTCTTCAAAGATGGCAGCTGCCTGCTGACAGATAACAACTTTGTGCTGGTCGGCTCCTTCGTGGCCTTCTTCGTGCCCCTCACCATCATGGTCGTCACCTACTTCCTGACCATCAAAGCGCTGCAGAACGAAGCCACCCTCTGCTTGGACCAGCTGGTCCCGCGGCCTAAATGGAGCACGACATTCACCTTGAGCTTCTTGCCGCAAACCTCGCTGTCCTCTGAGAAACTCTTCAGGCGCTCGATAAGCCGCGAGGCCAGTGGCAGAGGAAGCAGCGGTGGCCTGGGAGGCGCCCGCGGGAGCATTTCCGGTTCGCTCTTCGGACGCCGCACAATGCAGTCCATTAGCAACGAGCAGAAGGCGTCTAAGGTCCTCGGGGTGGTGTTTTTTCTCTTTGTGGTCATGTGGTGCCCTTTTTTCATCACTAACGTGCTGGTGGTGGTGTGTGACCCGGCGGTGTGCGACGCAGCACTCATGGGAGGCCTGCTGAACGTTTTCGTGTGGGTGGGATATTTGTCCTCGGCGGTCAATCCGCTGGTATACACACTGTTTAATAAAACATACCGAGCAGCATTCCTGCGCTACGTCCGCTGCCAGTACCAGCCGGAGAAGAAGCCTCTTCAGCTCATACTGGTGAACACCATCCCGCCGCTGGCCTACAGCTCCACCCAGCTGTCCCTGGGCGACATCGAGAAGTTACGAAACGGAGTGGCTCACTCTCGTGGCGAAGTGGCGGATTTCTCTTTACCTGGACAGGAAACGGAGAAGTTCATGCCGGACAAAAGTCACGGCGGCAAGGACGAGAGCTGTGTGTGAATAAAAACCTGCTTCAAGGTTGATCCTTTGAAACTCACGAATTATATAAAACATTTCACTTCTGTGGTCACACCATACTGACATAAAGCGAAGGGTTTGAGGTTTAAAGTGCCAAAGACAAAGTGCCTCCCAGTCAGGATTTAAGAAACACTGAGGTCATGAGTTGCCCAACCTCTCAAGAAATTATAGTCTGAACTTTTACATTTCCTGATCCACTCCTCATCACAAGGGTCTGAATCAGCTGAATCAAGTTAGTGAGTTCTTTGTTACAACAAAACTCTTTTTGATAACCTAAAAAGAATCAGTCAATCAGTGCTTCTTTCACGGAATAAAATGTATAAAAGTTTTAGAGACTCCTCCACACTGCCAGCACATGAAATTATTCTCAGAAAACACATTGTTTGTTTTTCACTTCTTTTGTAAAGATATTGAATCAATCAATATCTTCCAGTCTGGGAACAGACCATGTACCATGGGCATATGGCCAGTGCAAAAGGTGGCATATCTTACCTATTCTCTGACAATCTCTTTGGACAAAAGGGTAAAAAATGTAGTCGATTCTTCACATAATTTAATTGTTTGACGGATGCTCAGCTGCAGTGACCTCGCCCCCCTCTCATTTCGCTGGCTCCCTGTTGCTAGTCAAGTGGCCTCTTCCTCCCATCATACCTTTTGGTTGGAACAACAGGGATTAAAGTGGATTTCTTGCGACCTTATTAGATGTTAGAGTCGGGGGAGGGAGATCCATGATGAGCCTGGCGCACCGGGACTCCAGACTCTTGCAGAGGTCAGATAAAGCTGCCAAATAGGGGAAGGAAAGGCTCCTGCTTCCTCTGTATTTTCTGTTGGAAATAACAAGAAAAATATATATTACGTCTGAAAACAGATGCTCACAAGATAATGATGTTACAGAGAGATGTGGATAAATCTATATTTGTATTTTGTGCAGATGTATGTGAATAAATGTAAATGATTGTTGAGGTCAATAAATTCTGTTATTCACAAGGATTATTTCCACAGATGTGATGCAGTATGAAGATTGTAAATTGAGATTACGTTGACAGGAAAAATTAAGAGGATTTAACTGCAGATGTTTCCACTGTGAAAGTCATACTTTTGAATGTGTTCTTCTCAGACTAACAGTGCAGAAAATTGGCATTTGTTTTGCAGACGCATCATGTTTTTTCTTCAGTTTTTAACAGATTGTAACAAATGGTCCAGTAGTTGGTTGCCACGAGTATAGATATTGTTTTAAATGTGGATCTAATGAGGCCGAAGAGAGCATCGTCTGCAGGAAGCACAGAAGCTGGATTAATGCATGAAGGTAGTCCTGAACCATGGATGCATTAACAAGGTGCGCTCAGACCTGTGGACTTGTATTTGATCACAGCTCTTGTTCAGACTGAACGCTACATGAATTTTAGATGCTGTATGACTGCAAACAAAGTCAAAGGAAAAACATGAGCAGATGCGACACACGTTCGCTCATAAACACTGCGGAAAAAAACATTCACTCACCACATTTGCATGAATTAGAGTTTTTGCTTATGAACAAACTAAAATCATATTTAGTGTGTCCTGATAACTTTCCAGAGTCGCAAACCACTGTGCCCAATTGCCGTCTCATGGTGGCATCAGTTAAAACCAGATTTAATCGTCCTGTGCCACTACAAATATTGTGAAATACTTAGTTAGGTTTAGGAAAAGATCATTGTTTGGGTATAAATAACTATGGTTATGCCGTCACTGAAGTATACAAGCAAAAGGACAAATAAATCAAAGCTGATTTCTCGTTTCACATTTCTCGTTTTTCAACAAACAGCGGTCTCCTTGGGGTACAGATCATTTTTTGTTTGACCGATCTGCTGCCTCTCCCGCCTACTCTGTGATGTTTTTTTGCCGTCTAGTTCATGATTACATGGATTTAATTTTGTGGGGTACGTATGAATTACAGAGCATTCTTTTTTGTAGCTATAGCTAGGAATGCTGGATTAAAAACAGCAAGCCAACACCAACGCAGCCCCTTGCTTGTTTAGGCAACAAAACCACGTATTAAGGTTTAGGAAAAACATCACGGCTGGGTTTGAAATAAGTACATAAACAACTTAAAACATAAACAACACCACATGCGAATGTAAAAAACCTCACAAACGTAAGTTCTTTGGGACAGGAACATTGTTCTCCTGGTTGAAAGACCTCCATTTGGTTGACTCATCCACCCCCCGTCACAACCAATGTGAATAGTCTTTCTCTCTTTTATATGTTTACACGTATGTGTTGTTTACATTGAGACTACGTGGCATTAAATGACACAAAAAGCAAGAATGGCATCGTGGACATGCGGTGAGACCGCTGCTTTTATAAACGCAGTCTAAAGAGAAAGTGCTTTTTGGGACACAGGGTTTATTTGTGTTGCAGTAGGCTGCTGATTAGTTCTAGCTCTGTTAATACATCCATGGATCATACGACGACTACTAACAGAGGCCTTAAAAACCAAAGGCAAGACGCAGGATGAAGGGCGGAAATGAATGTGGAGTAAAAGTGGAACGTAAAGGACGTAAAAAACATTCACTCACCAAAATTCACCACAAATGAGTTCCCTGATGTTTCCTGCTTGTCGTGGCTTTGATAAGTAGGATGTAATGAGGAGTTCACTTGCAAAATGTTAATTATCCATCTACTGGACCCTGCTTTGAAAATGATGATTTTATTAGGGTAATAGCTTCTTTAAAAATAATCATGTTTGGAAACTTTATTCCACAAATCATATCAGCTTTACTTTTTGGAGTATTTCATTTGGACCAGAACTCTTCAGATGTAATGAGATGGATAGAGCTTGCTCAGGGTTTATTAAGAGGTATAGAGAGATATCATGATGATTGTTGCACTATATGTGATACAGACGGACTATAAGTTATTTGAAGAAGAAAAACAGCCAAAGCAAGCAACAGGGAGGTTTTTTGTCATTACCACAGCTGTTATTTACAGCAGCAGGTAATATGCTGTGGCCTAGAGAAGGACAACAATGAGGCTGCTCATTACCAACAGCACTGAAGAGAAATATTAGCTCAGCAGGTGGCTGCTTTCAGTGGTACAGCAACATTCAGCAGTGATGCATTTTCTCCTATACCTGCTGAGTCACAACCTGCATTAACGTAGAAACAGAAAATTCAGATTCTTCAGCTTCCATCTGTTGGAGTTTATTCCTTGATCTGGGGCTTATTTTCATATTTTGGGGGTTTATTCCTATCCATTATGAAGTTTAAAGAGATCTGGAGGCGTGGCGATCAGTTTTGCCAATTTATTAAAACTACTTGGAGGTGAAACTGAAACCAAAAAATGTTGGTAATAGCTCTCCATTTCATAGAAAATCTGTGCTGCACTTAAAGTCCTAATTCTAATTGGTGTTTACAAGACACAGGTTGTGATGTAATTTTAATATTTGCCTTTGTTTTCTTTTGCAATAAGTTTTGGTTAAAATCCATTAGCAGTGAAAACAATTATTGAAAATTGTAGGCTCGTTCCAGAACTCTCAATCTCAATTTAGTTTTTTGTTCAAGATGTTTTGTTCAATGTATAATAAACATTTTGGACCAGATTTGAAACTTTTCTACCTTTGGACTTTGCTGTAAATTGATGGTTCATGTTCCCGCTCCTTTGGGCTGAACTGTAATGATGATACTACCCGGCCTTCTTATTGTCATTTTCAACAAAACCACGGAAATGAAACCCAGGACGTTACAGACAAACAAACTGAATTTTCCTTTATTAATGCAAAAGGATTCCGAATCAGCCATCTTTGTATATGTGTGAGTTCAGCCGTGGCAGATGAAGAACCATCTTGTTTGGCTTTGTTGTGTTGCTCATGCTGGTCCAGTCCCAGTCTGGGTTTTTTTTTTTTTTAAATGGATCTGGACCCACTCAGATGACGTAGCTCTGTGTGTAGTTCTGTTGCTGTTGCAGTGATGTGAAGACCATCGACACCGTTCTGCTGACGTAACTTTGGATCCACAAACTTGACTCTGGGTTGGTTTGGAGGGTTTTGTTTTTTAACTATAGTGTCTATTTTGGAATTTGATGTTTGATGGTTCGTCATGTTTCTTTTGTATGTCAACTGTAACGAACACAGATTTTTTTTCTCATTGTTTTCAAATGAAAGTAAAAAGAAAAACTGGAGACGAAGCGTTTTCTGTTCGTGTAAGACTTTTATTTATTCAAGTGGATAAATAAATGTTTGTGTAGATAAAGAGCGAACATGGACACAAGGCTTCAATTCTGTGTTCATTTTTCATATTTTGTACACCAGGGGTTCTAACCTGTTCAGCCCCGAGGTCTTTGAAGTCCCTGAACCCAAATAATTTCAGATTCCCCTGAGACAACAGCTGGTTGTGTTTTGATTCACAAAATACAGTGGGTTACTGGGAGAAACCAGGCTGAGGCAGGAATTCAGAGACCGTGTTTTCGTCTGCTGTAGAAACATGGTTACTGTACAACCTGTGTTTACATTCATCCAACTCTCCCTGCCTTGTTTTTCAACCAGAACTGCCATATTGATAGTGTATTAATAATGCATGATGCCTCAGTCTTAGGGGTGGTTTTTTTTCTTCGTTTTTCTCTTTTATTTTGTTACTTCTTGGTCAGAGACAGGTTTTCAGGATACACTGCCATCATATGTCAACACACATCAACCCTCCAGAAAAGAAGTAATGATATTGCAATTACTCCCCTCATCAGCGTCCTGTTTTTTCTGTTTCATTTAGGAAAGGTTCAGCTGCTCACAAGAGATATATTTTTTAAAAACACACGGCCTAAATTGAAGCAGCAGAGATCAAGATATCCTGACTTTGACTTCATTTACAGCTATCTGATGTCTAAAAAGTTTAAATGCAAATAAGAAGCATTAGCTGCAGATTGGAATCTGATAGCCAGATGTTAAAAAGGAACAGATGCAGCCATCTCTCCGAGACAAATACGTATTCGATACTCCCCCCAGTGCTGTAGAAAGGGGTGCTGTCCCCTGTGATAACACCAGCTGAACTTAGGAATCCCGTTATCTGCGACAGGAAAAAGCAGCTCCAGAGATATCAGGATCATACAACAGCAGGCGTTAAGCTGTTTGTGCGAGTTAGAGCCAAAGATTGCAAGATTCACACATTTTTGTTTTTGTTGTGGACAGAAGTTAGCTAGTTAGCTGAAATATTGTTATACTTAATTGAAATTTGGTTTTAAGGCTTACAAGACAGATTCAGGTGTTTCACCAGCATCTACAGTACACTTACAGTACAATTACTCATGTATTGTACGTAAGTATTTTCATTTTATGGATCTTTATACCTCTTTATACCTTATATTCTCCAATCTCAAAGGGAAATATTGTACTTTTTACTCCAGTTGTCTGACAGTTGCAGATGTGCTGAGTTTGAGTGCTTGTGGAAAATGGAAAATGAAAGTGTTCCTTAAAATATTGAGAAGATCCTCCTACTTCTTAAGCTAAATAAACTATTTAAAAAAGCCTTTTGGATCAGCTGTAAAATGCATGGTCACAGAGCTAAAAACTGTTTTTGTGAGCTCGTGAAATATTGAGTTTTTAGAGATGTGGTTTTCACCGGACAGGGTCTTAACAAACATGGGATGATCTTATAGAATACGATGCATTGCTGTAGATTAACTACCCAACAGTATATGAAGGAGTTCAAATCAGCACAACTTTAATCACCTACAGTATTATAATGTAACAAACACATCAATGCAGCAGTGATATAAATTCATCCGTACTGCTTCCATCATAATATTAAAATATTGCAGCCCTCATTCAGCCTCTGAAGAGCCAAAGTAACAGCAGAAAACTGAGTCAGTGAACATTTTCAGGCGTATTATTTTTAGCTATTTTCTGCATCACAAACAACCAAATGTTCTTAACAGCATCGCTCCCCCTACACCACTGCTTTTTATAATAATAACCTACTTCTCCCTTTGCTTCATTACTAATGATTCATCTTCAGACTGAAATAAATTCAGAGCACAAGCTGGAACTTTGGGAGGAGAGAGAGTCTGATATCGTACTAATCTGATTCGCCCACAGCAAGTACTGTCCAACCATCCAGTTTGTCTTTGTAAAGAATTTATCTTTTCCCCATCTGTCTTCTGCTGTTTAAAATAGCACAGGCCAAGAGCTGTTCACACACACACACGCACAGACACAAAGTACAGTAATTACAAAGTCAGCTTTCATCTTAGCCTGATTGAATAATGTAATATGAATATTTGTTGATCCGTTCATGTAAGCAGTCAACAAGCAACAAGTGTATCTGTGTTTTCTCCTTTCCGTCTATCTTTGTGAGGACCAAATTGGGTTGAATGCCTTAAGACGACATTTTGGACATTTAAAAAAGTTCGGACATTTTTGGATAGAGAGGATGTTTTCAGAAAGTGGGAACATTTGTGGAAAGTGGAGAGATTTCAGAAATTGAGGAAATTTGAAAAGTGGGGAAATATGTGGAAAGTGGGGACATTTTAAAGGTGGGGACACTGTTAGAAATTGAGGACATTTAAAAAGTGTAACATGCTGATGTTTAGCAGGTATGTTTACCATGTTCATTGTTTTATTCTAGTGTTAACATGATGGGAATGTCATTATTTTTGAAGGTATTTGGTCATAAATCAAATAATTGTTCAAATTAAAATTTTGACCTGATGATTATTCAAATTCATCCTGAGTGGAACATGAATGTCAGAACCGCAATTCCTCACAATCCTCCTAAATAGTTAAAAATCAAAAATGTCCACCTTATGGTGGCACTGGAGGAAAACTCAAAGGACCAGTAGGAATATTTCTGTGGGACATTTATTAGACCAACACTGCCATCCCTACAGCCACGCTGAGAGCATAGATAAAAGATGTAATAAATAAACCTACAGAAATCAACAGACTGCACTCTCATTAGGTTGATGTATTTCTGACATGAGCCTCCCCCCCCCCCCACCCCACCACCACAATGTGAATCCTCCCTGGTGTCTGAACTAATGGATGGGAGTGTTGTTTGTGTTGAGGAGATCATGAAAGCTGTGAATGTTTAATCCTCTGGGTGGGTCATAATCCATCAGCCCGCTTTCTGTGTGCAAATCATGGTCGTGAAATGTCAGTCAGCATGAATGCTCTGATTGGTGCACCTGCTGCTCCACACACACACACACACACACACACACAGACACACACGCACAGACACACATCGTTACCCTTTAAATACACACTTATTTCCTCTTTTTTTAAGCGTTTCACTCAAGCTATAAATTATTCAAACAGGAGATCTCTTAAATATTCTCCCCTCCTCGGCTCACTCACCAAAAAAACACAGATGAGGCAAAATCAGCCACAGAGAAGAAACTCTAAGGTTAACGTTGAGTAAATACTTTACTTCCTGGCAAAGTTTGAAGATCTCAAACATGGGCTTATTAATGCTAACTGAGTAGGCGGTAAGAATTTTGTCCAAAGTGCATAAATCTAAATGTCCTTTCAGACTTTCCTCTGAGGTACGGTCATCTTAGGCGAGGTTATCAGCGGTAAAAAGTTTAGTTTTTAAGTGGTTTTAGTAAGCACGAGGTAATTAAAGGATTCCTCACAAATCCCTCCAGAGATAGGCGTAGGCAGAAGAGGGGATTAATTACAAATCAGAGAAAAGGAAGGAGGCAGAACACAGGAAGAGAGGAGAGAGAGAGAGAGATGAAATGAGAGAGGGGTTTGGGAAAAAAGGCAAAAGGTCCTGACAAGACACTATAGACAGTAAAAGTTTTTTTAAAGTTCAAGGTGGAGGGACAACAGGGGACGAGGATATGGTGACATAAAAGGAAGGAGACAAGGGTGAAGGTGTGACAGGAGGAGAGGGAAGGAGGAGAGAGGAGAAATGAGGTCAAGCGAAGGAGTCGGAGGAGGGAAAAGAAGGAGAAGAGGAGAGGGGAGTAAAGAGAGACCAGGGTTGGAAATACACAAGACATTTAGGGACAGCTCTAAAATAGTCATTTTTGCTGCCACTGTTTTCTCTATACAAATGTATATTTTTCTGTATGTTGAGGTTCCTAAAATGAATATGCTCTGGATGATTTGAAAAGCATTGATAGTATATTCCTGCACAGTACCTCCTAATTCTGACAGAGAAAGAGAGATGAGGTGGTGTCATAGAGGAGAAGATGAGCAGATAGGGGGGGGGGGGGGGGAGGAGAAAAAACATTCCTCAATACCTTTTTACCCCTCCTCTCCTCTCCTCCTTCCCTCGTTCATTCTCTCTCCTCTCCCACAGGATGAACTGAATGTGACAGTTTTCTGTTCCCTGAAATCTATACGACAGGAATTTACAACCATTAATGTCTCCTTTTACTAATCGTACGTTCATTCACAAGTACATGAAAAGCAAACGTCCCGGTGTCAGAGCTGCTTCAAGGCTGTTTTGTGTTACAGACACAAGCCATGTTTCCATGTAATTATCAAGAGAATTTGAGGCAAACTTTTCAAATGAAAAAAAAGAAATGTGAAGCTATCGGCGCATAAACTTGGCTACAGTGATGTGACATCACTCATTAGAAACATTACAAACTGTCTTCAATATTTCTGATATTTCTAATAAAGACATATTGTTACTGTAGTGGGTCTTAAGCCAACCAGAATGTACCTCTCTTACGACTAACTGCTTTTATTTTCTCAGTTCTGGGACATTTTCTCCCCGCGGCGTTTTGTTGTGTGGATTGTTTATTAATTCGTTCAACAAGGATTGAAAGAACCAACCCAACCATCTTGCTTAACTGACTGCAAGCTCAGTCACCAACGCAGCAATAGTTAAATCAAACACACATTTGTACCAACTCTTTCTGTCTCATAACTATCTAAAAAGCATACGTTTTTTTATGGAGCAGTTTATATTCTGACAGAGGAGGATCAATAAAATTTGTTGGTGACGCAAAAAGTTACGATACCTTTCTCCAGCTCTGTCTCAGACACCAGAGTTCATCTCGACTTCCTCCGAAGCAAATGGGCAATTAATCAAATTGTCACAAACTAATTAGCACACAGTGAACAGGCTTTCTGGAGCGTGGCAGTCCACTTTGCCTGGTTGTTAATCCAAACTTGTGTGTGACAGAGAGACTAACAAATCCAAGAAAAGCATTAATCGAATGATCGTTTTTCTAGTTATTTTTCTGTGGAAGCATATTAACCTGCTGATGTTACCATTCAGCACGGCTCTACGTCCTCTCAGAGCTGCTGTATCCTATTTCTGTGGCTACAAGGTTGTAATTAATGCAAATGTGTAGAAACAAAAATCGGAAAACATTGAATGAATTCTCTGAGAAGACACCCGCAACCCTGACAAGAGAAAGAGGTGATGACATTAAAGTCATTGTTTTGCTGTCAGTCAACCCTGTCTCCTACAAAGTGATGTTCCCCTATAACTAAACTGCCTTTTCAATTATGTTTAGAAGCAAACATATTTTCTCTCCTGGTCAAAAGTCCTGTATTTGTTGACCCATCCATCCACATCAACCTCCTCCTGACTGACAGACTATGACTCGAGTGATATGCGTGATAGGTCAAAAACATTTGAGGAAAAGTAACTGACAAAGCAGTCTCGTTATGGGAATGTAAGTTTTAGGAGACGAGGCTCATCTTCTAACATGGCTGCACTTTGTGTTTACTGATTACTCCTCCCCTCACAGCGGCAGGCCTCCATTACCTCCTGAAGTCACCGACTGTCTGATAATGATGATGATTACTCTTTGGTTCTTGATTATTATCTTCTT